GGTTTTTTAGGGAAACAAATGTCACACTGCTCATTTGGAGGTCTCAAAAACTCATGTATCACATTTGACACGTTTGGCGTTATTGACTACACATGTCCCTCAGATGGACAACTGGATCTTCAGCCTCGGTTAAACCAGCTTTCCACACTCTCCAATCTAAGCAGCAAATATCTGTCTTTTGCACAGAGCAAAATAACTTAAAACATACAAATATTTTATGTTAGACTGATTTATTTTTTAAAAAGACTATTTTATTCAAAAATATTATATTATTTAGATGGTTTCAGCTCATGTAATTATTTATGCTTCATATTTGATCATTTAATAAATTACATTTATCCCAGAAAAGCTGTGTCACAGTATGGTTCTAAATATAAACAAGTTTAGCAAATCAAGAACCTTGTTTTTTTGCTACAACTGTGAATGAAATTTGTGGATCGTTATGATAAATTAAAATAACATTTAAAACTCATTCACCTAGAGAACATGGCAAGTTGTTTTTAATTTTTTTAAATTTATATAATTTTTTTTGACTGGGGTGTTAAACAGAGAATCATCTTTGTTTTAATATGGGGCAAACAAATGTTCTGTTAGTTAATGTGGTTTAATTAGAAGAACTCAAACAGTGAATCTCACAGAAAGACTCAGCCTGTGCGCTCCTGTCACAGCAGTCTCATCAGGAGGAGAGAGTTTAGTCACTTACACAGTTGGACAGATCTGTTTGATAAYRACRYTCTGAACAYATATTTAATATAAAGTTATGTTTTACAGACCAAAGTCTCTGGTAGTTCAGGAGCAAAGTGCAGGAGGACAGTGCTGGCTCTAACCATTTTGATGCCCTAGGCGAGTTGAAGCGCAACCCACCCCACTCCCGAACTATGTCCCACCCACCTCAATTTAAATCCCTAAAAACAAGTTTGACAGTGTAAGGTACTATGGTAAACAGATTTATTTGCTTTCCTGGAAAGCAAATAAATAACAACATACATGTCAACTTGTATGGATTGTCCGTAAGTTATAAGGATTTTACACCATTTTTAAAGGTATACGAACGTATAGAGCAATCTCACAGATTTTTTCAAGTCTTACGGATTTTTTCAAAACTTCATTTTCAAAATTATCTAACATGTCAGAGCCTGTAGGATGATTTAAAAAAACAATAAATAACATTAAATAGCCATCTTCCAACCTGTTCTACCGGTACAATTAAGTTTTGAACTTTTTCCGCTTTCCTTTCCTCCTGCTTCGCAGCAAGGCTGACCCCCCACCCCCACCCCCCGGAGCAGGACGAGTCAGTGCAACGTCAATCAAATGAGAGAGAGGGTGGGGGCGAATGCTGCA